CAAGCCACACCTTCTCCCACAAAGTCATATCTGTTAATTGTGCCACTCCCAATGAGTTTACTGGACTAATTACATTCAAACTACCACATCAGATTATATTGTATTGTATTTATCTACAGCCTAAAGGTGCATGAAACTGCAGAATCGTCCAAAAAGCCCATTTCCTAGGCTGGCAAATTCTTATCAATCCAGATTACGCTCCATAATAATAACTTGTTACTATACACCAACTGACCTCTAAACCGCAGCATCTTAAAACAACACAAACCTTCCATGGAACAGTTTCTACAAACTAGAAGTCCAAGCACTGACTAGGAATATCAACTTTTGAAGGCCTCACAAAATGAAACAAGCAATGGCAGCAGGCATAGTCATCTTAAGATTCAATTAGAAAGGGCCGACTTCCAAATATAATCTATGGCTATAGGCGGCTTTCACTTTCTAGGATGTGGGACAGAGCTCCTCAGCTCCTTGCTGACTGTTGACAGAGATCATTCCTATATATTTGACATTTAGGTCTCTTCAATGCAGTAGCATGCTTCGCTGAAATAAGCCAGAGTGGGCATCTTCTAGCAAAGCAGGAGTTATCGTCATTTGTGAATTAATCACAGCAGTGACATCCATTACCTTTACTGTAGTGTTACAAGTGAGTCTCTTTGGTCAATAGCCCTCCATGGGAGGGCACCACGAAAAAGCATCAATGCTCTAAGGCAAGGGTCACAACACTCTGTCTCTAAGGAAGTCAGCCAGTCTATATTCCCAGTTCCCCTAGAACAGCCATGTGACTGACTTCTACCTAACAGAATGTGAACAGAGTAGTGTGGGTTATTTCCAATGTCCTTTCTCTTATACCAGCAGGATCAGGGATGTGCCCTCAGAAGCCACATGCTGAAATGGCTGAGCCAGAAGCTAGGAAGTCTGAGAGGCTAAATCAGCAACTGAACCTGTGTGATAAGAAGTAGACTTCAGCAAAATAAAAAAAAAAATCACCTCAAACTATTAAAACATTGTGTTTTATTGCTTGTATTTTAACATTACCAAAAATGTATCTCCAGAAGTATGGGATGGGGGTTAAGAGGAATGAAGAAGCAGCATTGAGTGACCGCATGACCAAGGCGTGCACTACACATGACATCATGATCAGCTCCCACGGAGCACATATATAATCCTCAAGTGGACTTTATCCAAAACAGAGTCCGTCTTCATGCCCCTCCAAAGAAAACATAAATACTTGGTGTAATTGTATTTCAAATGAATATGAATTATTTTAGTTTTCTATCCAATTTAGAACACTGGGGAAGGAAGAAAAGCATAGAAATCAAGACACTGAAGACAAGTAAAAGTCAGGAAAAAAAGAGACTGGGAAATGCCTCAGTGGGTAAACTATTTCTACAAAGCACTGAGACCTGAGCACCCATGTAAAAATTATTTGTGACTGCATAAGCCTGTAACCCTAGTCCTGGGAGGAGGAGAGGCAAAGGGATCAAAGGGTCTGATGGCTGCCAACCTCTCTGAAAACAGTGAGCTTCAGTTATAGTGAGAGGCTCTGTTTCAAAAGATATGATGGAGGATAATAGATGAAGAAACCAAATATCCACCTCTGGATTCTACCTGTGCACATACAGGCACATGCACCCACACACATGTACATAAATGCACATACACCATACACCAAAAGAAGAAAAACTAAGAAAGAGATCCAGACCAAAAGAAAGATCCAGAAACCCGTGAAAATGCATAGAAAGCTCCAGAATGGCTGTAAGCCATAAAAATGAGATTTGGATCAACTGAACTAAATCTTCAAGCAACAGCATAGTCCTCGATAGCATCTAGACTTGATGTGGTAGAACTCCAACAGATGAACAAGGCAAGAACTCAAGTTAGTTCTAGGAAAAGGTTCATACACCACAATCTGTGATTGATAAATAACCAGTATGCCTATGGGACTTGGCTCAAGTTGGTGCAATTCAATGATTCTGTAAATCTGGCTACTAGAAAGTTCAGTGAAGTATTGAGATCAGTGGCCAGAGTACAAAAGGAAAATCTCCATGAACAAGGCTTATTCTAAAGAATAAGTGTGTTGGCTACTGGCTAATGGTCTCTAGCCCAGGGACACACTCACTGTACAGTTTTTACATACATTTCAACAGCATAAAACTTGACCATTAGTCATCCTATAACTTCTGGCAAATAAAAATACCACAACCTGTAGTTTCGCCTAACTTGTCATCTCATAATTTCTGGCTAACCCTCAAATTGAAATGGGCTATGAAAGGAGAGATATCTGGCACCTCAGAAACCATCAGAAAGACCCAAGAAACTGTTTGAAGGAGGCCTCAAATGGTAAGTTTCAGATGTATGTTATTAAGTGGTGACAGGGAGGAATGGTGTAGAGTCTGTAGGGAAAGACTTAGAAAAGGATTAATTCATCTTGTAAGAATTTATTGTCCATTTAAGTTATTTAATCAGACATCACACTTTTATTAACCCTGAATACAAGATAGACCTAAGGATGGAGGAAAACTTGTTTGTCTAGCAGAGGGGCAAGACATTCAAAGCAGAAGCCATCTCTCACTCCAAAAGGAGTGGCTCCCAGACACCTACCAAGGAGCAGTGCGTGGGTTTTCTATGTACACTGCCTATTCCTCCTGTGTATTCTCTGCTTTACCTAATATATAGTGATATAGATGATAGGTAGATATAGACATATAGGTCGATAGGTAGGTAGATAGAAGATAGATAGATAGATAGATAGATAGATAGATAGATATAGATGTCAGACGGATAAATGGATGGATGGATGATAGACCCACTTGTGAAGGTAAATAGACATTAGTGGAAAAGGATATAAGTGGTTAGGGACTAGAATATGGGATTTCATCACTACTATTGAAGAATCTTATGGGATACTTAGCTAAAATATGTTACACCCATAATAAAAACCCAGAGACAGACATTGGGGTTCATGCTGAAAAATCAGAGGAGCAAAGCAGCCAAGTCAATAGATCTCACCGCTACCCAGGCTGAAGCAACCCTGCCTTCAATGTGGCTAGAGACTAATTGCCTGAATGTGGTAGGAGACCAAATTCCCCAGACTGAATATCTACTTCCATCTTATATATACATATTGTCTTGGTAAGTGATCACAGCTTTTTTAGTCTACAACTGGTGTCCTTCATTTCATTGGTCTTAATGTTAGATTTCTGTTTTATTAGCCTTTTAGTACAATTGCCCTTTATTTCAAGATGCCTCAAATCTATTTGGGAAAAAAACATGGTTGTTTGGATGACTTTCTAAGTTCTTCTAAAAAGTCATGGTGCTTGGAATGTGATCTTAGTAAATGAGAAATTTGCAGGGTGATTCTTCAGTCTGACCCTATAGATTTAGGTAATTTGTTTTCCCTTATATCTCATAGTCTTGTACAAGTTTTGAAGAAGCTATGGGTACCAAAGACCACAACCAGCCAAGAGGCTCCACCTACGTCAAGATCCTTAACATAAATTATAACCCAGCGTTTATGAAGCATGAAAAAAAAATCACCTCTTAGAATCCTTGTCATGAATGACCGCTTAAAGTATGCACAATTATTACCCTTAAATTAAGGATACTGAAGTATAGAGGGGTTAAGTAAATCTTCCAAGGTCTTAAAAATCATAAGGGATGGATCTAGGACTTGAAGCTGTTACCCTAGCCCTTAGCTGTCATAACCAAATGGCCTTAAGATCAGTAGTCAAGATGAGCTCTGTGACTGTCCTCTGCTTCCCACATTAGAATCTCCTGAAAGTCATAATTGCAATCATTTGAATGGGTGGGTAGTGCAACTCTTCATACATCCATGTCATAACCAAATGGCCTTAAGATCAGTAGTCAAGATGAGCTCTGTGACTGTCCTCTGCTTCCCACATTAGAATCTCCTGAAAGTCATAATTTCAATCATTTGAATGGGTGGGTAGTGCAACTCTTCATACATCCATGTCATAACCAAATGGCCTTAAGACAAGATGAGCTCTGTGACTTCCCTCTGCTTCCCACATTAGAATCTCCTGTAAGTCATGATTTCAATCATTTGAATGGGTGGGTAGTGCAACTCTTCATACATCAATCACCTTGTGTTTTCTCCTTTACCCTCCATTTCATTCAAGATTAGAAATTCTGCTACCTGAGCCTCGCCCATTGTCCTAGGACACTTTATGGTCACTTGGGTTTTTAATTGAAGTATTCCATCTCTAATTACTTAAGAATATGTAATGTGTAAAGGTAAATGTGGAAATTTTATAATTCTATTACTATTATGATAAGTAGTTGAAAAGTTTATCTGTTGTTATATCCAACTGTTAGACAGTAAGTAAGTCTCCCCCCCCCCAACCCTTACATCACATTCACTTAAGAGTATAGTGTTTGCATTGAGAGGGCATGGCTACCCTTGTTGTACTAAATAGTCAAAGAAACCAGACAGTATAGCAAGACCAAGAAATAAAGGACAAAGACCCTTTTTTCTCAATGTATGTTTTTATTTAAATTAGAAACATGAATGCTTCACATGTCAATCCCAGTTCCCTCTCCCACCCCTCCTCCCTTACCCCTCCACCACCACCCCCAGTCCCCCACCCAACCCCCACACCATTCCCCATGGGGGATCTCCGAAGTCTGTCATTTCATCCAGGGCAGGGCCTAGGCTCTTCCTGATGTGTCCAGGCTGAGAGGACATCCCTTCATGTGGAGTGGACTCCCAAAGTTTATTCGTATGCCATGGTAAGCACTGATCTACTACCCAAGGCCCCAGAAATTGCTGAGGCCTCCTCACTGACACTACATTCAGGGAGTCTGGATCAGTCCCCTGCTGGCCTCTCAGCCATCAGTCTGGGGTTCAAGAGCTCCCCCTTGTCTGGTCAGCTGTCTTTGTGGGTTTCACCAGTCCTGTCTTGACCACTTTGCACATCACTCCTCCATCTCTGTCACTGGGGTCCAGGAGTTCAGTTCAGTGTTTAGCTGTAGGTGTCTGCCTCTGCTTCCATCAGTCACTGGATGAAGGTTCTAGGATGGCATATAAGGTAGTCATCAATCTTATCATCAGGGAAGGGCTATTAAGGTAGTCTCTCTTCTATTGCTTAGTTTGGAGGACAAAGACTCTTGATTCTGTAACTCTGATGTTATAGCAAACTATGAACCTGATGGTCAGGTCCAGTTGACACTGGCCAGTCTGTGAGATTTTCATCTACTCTTTAAATGATGAAGTTATCAAGAAGTTTTGGGATCTCCTGGCCTGACTGGGTCCTTCAATGTGGCAAGGAAACAAGAGGGTCTCTAGAAACCACGCTCTGCATGATCACATGTCCTATATCTCAGTAACATTCTTTGGATCACTGGTCTGCTGTCTGGAATGGAATAAAGTAAAAGCAACCTGGCCATGTCTGGGCATTGTTTCTGCAAATCTCTATCACAGGCCACTCTTGCATCTATCAAGACCTGGCGTAAGAGCAAGGAGGTACATGGGGAAAGGGGAGGGAAAATGGAAATGGTATAGCTATATTACAATCTCAAAAAAATTAATAAAGAAATATTCCAAAGGAAATAAAGACTCGAGAAAGGAGCTACTAGAGAGAGAGGTGTGACGACTGAGCAGGTTTCCACAAGACTGGTGACTTCACAGATCTGTCATGTGACATTGACATTGATATAGGAGACTAAGGGAGCCAGGGTAAGTTCCCTTCACAGGACTCACCTGCTGCAAGACAGAAAAAGTAGCTAAGAGACTTTCCCAGAAGGATCCCAACATCCCGCCAGGGCCAACAGCGCGCTTCCAGGCACTGCTGGCTGCAGCCTCTTCTTGGTAACTGCTCATAAGAGCTCAGCCCCATCTGCAGCTCCAGAAAGAAAAACCCGACACAAGGTGCTGAGTGGAGGGATTAATGTCTCATCAACTCTACATTCTCCATTGAGATAAATGTCTTTATCTCCACTCATGCAAACATCCAGTCTACACCACTGCTTTGGAAATTACGTAAAATTTAAAAGCCCTTTCCCAAAGATCTCATTCCAGAAATCCAAAGCCAAGTAAAATATGCAATTACTTCCCAGATGAATGGCTCTCCTGGCAGGCATTCCCTCTCTGCAGCTGTACATCAGGGTTCCTTGTCCCAATGCATTAATCAACTTCTAAATTGAAACTGTATTGTTTCTTGTCTGAAGAAGCACCTCTGAAATTCAGAAGACAAAAAAAAGTTGAGCTCCCTCAGATGCAGAATGAAATAACACATTTGGATGTGAGAAGGCTAGAATCAAAATAGTGTTTCTTTTAGCCCTTGAGAGTTCCAGCCACCAAGAGTAGGTGCTCTTCCCTAAGCCTGGAAAGCAGCATCACCTTTGCAGAGACGCTCCTGAGGTTTAGGTTTTAACTCTGCCATTTAATTGTGAGCTCTTGGATGCTATCTCAGCTCCTTGAGTCTAGATGTCCTTGTCTTGGCTGAGGACAATAGTAGCAATCCATTCCTTTTGGCTCAGTGACAAACGGAAGCAAGCACAGAACCCAGATCACAGTGAAAGGTCACAGACAGAAACCCACTGTCCAGTTAACTGGGTACTTCTCTGCTGGGGGAAGTCTCCATTAGCAAAAAACTGATGCAAGAGTCTGGAGGGTCATGGTTCTCACTGGACTCTGATTCACACAGCAGTCTGTGGAGACTTCTCTCTAGTGATGCTCAAGGACATTCAAGAGGGAGAATGGCAATTGATCCAACCACAGACGATGTTCACTGCTTAGCAAACACACACTAGTGCTCATTCACCTCTTTAACATGATGGTGTCTGTGTAGCCATCCTCCTTCCATGGGATATATCCTGGCTGATGGTCAAGGAAAGTTCGAAGGCTGCTGTGAAGTTTATTTTTGTTGTCTTTTTCATACGTCAATTTGACCCCAGGGAGCTATACAGATAGAAAGCTCATATACTTTCTCTCTCCCTAGGTCTACCATCCAGACCTCCTTCCTACAATATTGCTAAAGGATGGGCAAAAGTTTCTGTGGCAAATCACACAGAGTCTCCTGATTGTAAGAGCCCTCAGCAGAGTTACTAAAGACCTAGAACATTTCCTAGTTCAGGTACATGGGATATGGCAAGGACTCCTCTGCTAAAATAGATGTGGGATCCAAAGAAAGCTTTTGTGAAATTCACACACACACACACACACACACACACACACACACACACACACACAAATGCATGCATGTATTCTACTTTATCACTCAAAAACTAAAGTTCTGATAATGCTACACCATAGATAAACCTACGAGTATGCTAAGGGAAATGAGCTAGTTACAAAAGGCTCTAATTCCACTGACATGAAATCCATGGACAAACAATAGACTAGAGTATGTCGGTGGTTACAGGAGTTTGAAGCAGAGACAGAATGTTCAGTGAACGCCATCTTCTTTGGGGATGATGAAAGCATTTGGGGGCTAGAGGTACTGGTGTGCAACACTGTGAAAGTGCATGGTTCTTCTTGCATTCTTGAAGAAACTTGACTCAGAAAACTCCAGTGATTTCTTTAAGATTCATTTGCCAAGTTGGGCTCCCTATGCCCCTCCATTAAGCCTTCTCAAAGACTCAAGGCACAGACTGTATTCTCATACAAACCCTTCACTTCTAGTCTAATGATTCCTCAAGCTCCAGAGCTGTGCTTGATGTTCTATTTCTTTTCCTTTTCATCAAAATGTAACTGTCTTGTGCCAGCAAGATGGTTCAAGGGGTATAAACACTTTCCACCGAATTTGTTGTTAATTTCAAGTCCTAGGACCCAACAGAAGAAAGAAAGAACCAATTCCCACAGAGCGCCCTCTCACCTCATATGTGCTTAGTGGTGTGTGCCAACACATATACACACAATAGATAGATAGATAGATAGATAGATAGATAGATAGATAGATAGATAGACGGATGGATGGATGGATGGATGGATTTATTGATAGATGATAGATTGATTTATGTAAGATAGATGATAGATAGATAGATAGATAGATAGATAGATAGATAGATAGATAGATAGATAGATAGATGGATGGATGGATGGATGGATGGATGGATGGATGGATGGATGGATTGATAGATGATAGATTGATGTATGTAAGATAGATGATAGATAGATAGATGATAGATAGATAGATAGATAGATAGATAGATAGATAGATAGATAGAATCCCAGTAAGAGTAGTACAGTTTTTTAGAAGGTTACAGTAGGAATAAAACTCATAAAAGTAAGTGGATGTTTGAATAAAGTGAATTATTGTACACATTTGGATGGGAATAATAAACTCAAAGCCTCTAAAGAAATCAGTGTGAGGAAACTGATATAGCAGCCCTATTTGTAAAGAGGCTTAGTGTCTAGTGATGAATTATGTTAATGAATTAGCGATGCTTGTGTTTTCACTGAGGGCCTTCAAAGTTCTAAGAAAAATAGTTCAAATAAGAATTGCAGACTTCTGGCAAGCCTGTGTGGAATGTGCACATTGGGAAGGGATGAAAGCATGCTGGGAAATGCTTATAGAGATGCCTCAAATGAACTTTGCACAGAAATCCCCATGAATAATGACAGCTGTGTGGTTCCCACAGAACCGTCTATTCAGAAGCAGAGGAGTCTCCGCAACCACCACCATGGCACAAAGAGATCCAGAGTTAGAAACGAAAAATGAGGCAAAGACATAGGATCTGTCCATCCCTCCTAGATACCATAGGTGGAATAATTGGGGGTACTGCCATATTTAAAGGAAGCCCGAGCAGAGATACATGACCACCCCCTCCCAAAGCTAGCTGTCCACAAAAGGAAATAGGCCTACAGAGGTAAAGCCCCTCAGTTGCAGAACTCAGAACCCTCTAGACAATGATGCTACTCGCATCACATCCTGTGACCTTTTCAGGACTTGGGACTCCGCAATAGAGGTTTCCATCCACCTAACTTACCCCTTTGGCTTCACAAAAGATCAAAAAGACCAGTAATTTACGGTTCTGCTTCACGTGTCCCTAACTGAAAGGACCCGTTGAGTGACTGAATCTTCAACAACGTAGAGTCCAGCTTGCTTCCCATACTTTCATTTAATTGTCTTCTCTTCACTGGGCATGTTACCTTGGTGTGCGCCCACTACACAGTAGATTCAGCAGATTCTGTTCTCAGCCCTTCACATGGCAAAATACCATACGCACTTCTCCTCCAGGAATGATCGATTACAAAGATGAATACTGAATAAACTCAACACTGTTGCTCTAACAGATTTACTTGCCCCAAACAGTGACAATGTAGGGTGGAGCAAGAAGGGTTTCTTTTGTTCATTTGTCCACCAATGACAAGAGAAACTTAGCATCCATGTCCAAAGAGGAGCAGGGACTCTCGGGATGAAGGAAGAGGGGGAAAGGCTCTTCTCATAGAGAGTGCGTAAGAGCATGCCCAACTTGTTATCCAAGTCTTCAGTTTCACAAAAGACAAAAAATAAAAATCCAATAACCAATTGCTCTCTCTCTCTCTCTCTCTCTCTCTCTCTCTCTCTCTCTCTCTCTCTCTCTCTCTCTCTCTCTCTTTCTCCTATATGTGATCCTAAGTGAAAGAACCAGGAGAATATGACTGAATCTTCAAAAATGTGAAGGCCCAAAGCTCTATGTTCCAGAACAGACATTTGGAACTGGTGTGTAGGCTGCTCAAGAAGATAGACAAGGGATTGTTCCAATCATCAGTTGTTACATATCAAATTATCCCTGAAACTCAGAGGCTTAAAGCAATAATGGTTCCAAACAATGATGACATTTGGATTAAGAAGTTGAGCAGGGCTCAGATGGGAAATTAATTAATTTGTTTGTTTGATTGTTTTACATCCTGGCTGCATTTTCCCCTCCCTTCTTTCCATCCATTTCCTCCCCAACTTCCCTCTGCCCCCACCTCCAGTCCACTAGCTGGGAGACTCTTGTGTTCCAAACAGCATGATTGCAGTCAAACACTCATTAATGGCCTCCTGGCAGACTAGGCTGTAGAGTACAGATGACGTCATTCACAAGCCTGGCATAATGGCAATGGTGAACTAAAACTTAAAAACTGAGCACAGAAGCTAAGGAGATAACTCAGTTGTTAAAAATACTTGTCATACAAACGTAAGGACCTGAGTTCAAGTCCAGCACCCATGTAAAACAAAAATAAACAACAACAACAAAAAGCTTGGTGGTGGGGATTCATAACCCAGTCTTGGAAAACTGGGAAGACATGCTGACCCCTGGAGCTCACCAGACAGGCAGCCTGGCTAGTCATAAGCCCCATGTCCCAGTGAAAGACCCTGTCAAAAGACAAATGTAGGTGCCTCCTGAGGAAGAGCGCCCAAAGCTCATCTCTACTTCCATGAGCACACACACACACACATCTGCCACACCCACATATGCATTCAGACATGAACGTGCCCATGCACATATACACACAGTAACTGAGTACAAATGGAGTTATCCCCATAGCGCAGTGAGAAATTTTGTGTGAGCTTAGAGCGGACAGCTGGGGTATGGGGAATTTTAAGGGATAAGAATGGAAGATTCTAAAGACTCGAGTCTGGAGCTTACCAAGTATCACCTGTACCATATTGCATTGGTAAAAATCAGCCGTAAAATCAACCCTGAAACAGGCGCGGCCTGGGACCTGACTCCCCTAGAGAGGATGATTAAGTAGTTACTGCTGTCCGTAAATCACTTGGGAGGAGCAATCCAGGCCACCTGAGACAGGCCTTAGGGACCATCCTAAGATGTTTGCGTTTTATCCTGTTTTCAAAATGTCTTTGTTTTATGTTCCCTAAGCAGGCAAGTTTAGTAGGATGTTTAAGGATACTCACTCCCAAAGCAAAGCGTGGAGAGGATGAATGAGAGCAGCCTGTGGACCAAAAGACCAATGAAGAGGCTGCTGAGAGTCCATCTGGGCACAGAGATTCCTGATTCCTAAGTCAATGCAGGGATGTAGCAGCCAGGGTCGGGGAGGGCGGGCTGCTGGCCAGACAGCCAGCTGTGGCTCACATACGTGGTTCAAGGATAAGACTCTCTGATAACTTGGAATGGGAAGAAGGAAGAGAGGCAAAGGGGGAGTTGTAGATGCCAGTCAGTTTCTTGCTTGGGAGATTGGATACAAGGTGCCCCTTGCATTATACAATGGAGATTTGCAGCTACTGAGTTTATTATTTCAAAGAGTCAGTGCCAATGCCTTCTGTGTGTTTATTGCTCTGCTCATGACCCTCTATTCTTGCAAAATCCTGTCTTTTCATCCACCCTCTGTTCATAGCCAATCCCTTTCCTTGCCTATAGTTCTATAACTCTGTGTGCCTCCCGCCCCCTGCCCTCGGGAGCTCAGCAGGTTATTCGTCCATAGTCAGTACAAACCTGGGATTTTTCATCTCTTAGTTCAGAAGGTGTTCAAGGGCAACTGCATATGAATCAGTCCGCTATCTGGTAGCCATTCCTATGGATTCTGATTCCTGGGGTTTGAGCGGCTGCAGGCTTGGAAACAGCTATGATACATGACTGATTTCACTAGGTAAGGATGTTAGGTAATAGAACTTGAAAAAGGCCCTGCTGGAACCCGAGCCTGTTCCTACTCAAATGCTTCTAAACATCCTCTGGTAACACAATGCGTCAGAAAGCAAAGGGCATGGGGCCTGATGGGAAACAGGACGCTGTGTTGGCTCCTTTCTGGTCTTTCACTGTGATCTTTTATCAGAGGCACATATGTTTTCAATACCATCACATGTGGCTGCAGTTAGATCAGGAAACAAATTCCTGCTAGTCTAAAGATCTGGCTTCCCTTTCACGCCCACCAAGCATCAGTCTCCAGCCTTGACTCGGGAGACCCCAGAGAAATAGTTCATCAGCCTCCCTGCATGCAGCACTCCCGTGGCTTGGGTCACAAGGAGTACACTGGATGTAACAGAGGGCACAGAAACAGCCTGGTCACCATCACCGGTCTCCAGCCACCGCTACCTCTGAGGTCAGCCAGACCAGATAGCTTTTTCCACAACCCACAACCCACGCCCAACAGTGACTCTGGGAGGAACCTTTCCCCCAATCTGTCCCAGGGGCTTCTCTCATAGGCCTGCTGGGTGATTACTGCCATAATTAGGACCCACTCAAATGAGTACAGGGGACACGCCCACAGAAAGCCCGAAATCAGGTACAGCTTTGCTTTGCAAGCAGCCAGGCTCCATCATCTTTTTTTATTTTATTTTATTTTTAAATTTAAATTTAGATTAGAAACAAGGTTGCTTCACAAGTCCCAGGTCCCTCTCCCTTTCCCTCCCCTCCTCCCGTGCCCTCCTCCCAACCCCCCCAATATCCCCTCATTTGCCAGGGAGGGTGAGGCCCTCCATGGGGGTATCCATAGTCTGTCATTTCATCCAGGGCAGGGCCTAGACCCTTCCCCAAGAGTTCAGGGTGAGAGTTCATCTCACATTGTTGGATGGGAGTCCAAAGTCCATTTGTATACCTGGGATAAATACTGATCTACTGCCCAAGGCTCAATAGATTACCTAGGCCTCCTCACTGACACCCACATTCAGGGGGTCTTGATCAGCCCCATGCTGGATTACCAGGCATCAGCCTGGGATTCAAGAGTTAACCTTTGTCAGGTCAGCTGTTTCTGGGGGTTAAACCAGCCCAGTCTTAATCCCTTTGGTCATCAGTCCTCCCTCTCTGTTACTGGCTTTCTTGAGTTCAGCTCAGTGCTTAGCTGTGGGATCATCATCTTAAAGCCCACTGTGACCAGGCAGTCAGGGGTTCAGGAGCATGAGAAGACACTCAGGAGGAGCCCAATGCTCTTTGCTGTCTTTATCTTTAAAGACAGAGCCTGCGACACTCTTTTGATGGTGAACTCTTCTGTCTGGCGGTGTCACAAACTCAAAGACCCCAGGCCTGCTCCCTAGCTGTTTGTCATTCACGTGTGTTCCCCTGATAATTCACACTCACCACCTCATCCCATGCTGGTAAAAGCCCTGTGCCCAGTGTTTGGGCCTTCCAACCCCTCAGTCAGGAACCTCAGCTACCTGACCCGTGGAAACGGCCTCCTAACTAACTGGCCTTCTGGCCTTGAGTCCTGCCTTCCTCAATTCTACTAATTTCATTGTTTACACTAAAAATAGAATGACTTTCTGGTTTGGGTTTTTTTAATATTTTTCCTTTTTTTATTTAATTGAAATGAGAAACAAGTTTGCTTCCCATGTCAATCCCAGCTCCCTCCCCTCCTCTCCCACCCCCCTTCAACCCTCACCCAACCCCTCCCCTAACCCCCCACTCCACTCTCCAAGGAGGGTGAGGCCCTTCATAGGGGATCTCGAAAGCCTATCATATGATCCGGGACAGGGCCTAGGCCCTCCCCCATGTGTTCAGGCTGAGACAGCATCCCTCCACGTGGACTGGGCTCCCAAAGTCCATCTGGATGACAGAGCTAAATGCTGATCTATTGCCCGAGGCCCCAAAGAATGCTGAGGCCTCCTCACTGACACCAACATTCAGAGGGTCTGGATAAGTCTCATACTGGCCCTTCAGTTATCAGTCTGGGGTCTATAAGCTCCCGCTTGTTCAGGTCAGCTGTTTCTGTGGGTTTCACCCGTCATGTCTTAGCCCCTTTGCTCATCTCTCCTTCCTCTCTGCAACTGGGTTCCAGGAGTTCAGCCCAGTGTTTAGCTGTGGGTGTCTGCCTCTGCTTCCATCAGCCACTGGATGAAGGCTCTAGGATGGCATACAAGGAAGTCGTCAATCACATTTTCAGAGAAGGGCATTTAAGGTAGCCTCTCCACTATTGGTTAGATTGTCACTTGGCGTCATCCTTGTAGATCTCTGGACATCTCACTAGTACCAGATCTCTCTTCAGATCTATAATGGCTCCTTCTATTATAGTATCTCTCATCCTTCTCTCCTCTATTCTTCCCCGACTCAACTTTTAAAATAATTACATCACTAATCCCCTTCCATTTTCTCTCTCCATGTCATCTCATGTTCTCTCCTTTCAACTCCTACCGTGTCCCCCCATTCTCAGATTAATAGCCTCTTTTTCTCTGATTATTGTTGTTGGTGTGTGTGTGTGTGTGTGTGTGTCTGTGTGTGTGAAGTTCAGCCCACTGAGCCCATTTTTGTTGTTTGTGTGTGTGCCTATGGTTTCAGGACTGACCCGAATACTGATTTGTATTAGATAACAAAGCATGAGACTCGTCCCTGGAAACAGCTCCTTCTCCTTCTCTCAGTAGTCACTAGTTTCCCGTAGTTCTTTGTCTAGAGGTTGGACCCTGTGAGAGTTTCCCCCACCTGTGTTAGCGTGTCTAGCAACATTGTCATTTTTTTAATGCGGCCATCTATAAAAGATGCCATCTCACAACAGGCTTACTGGTATTCTGAATCCTACAATCTTCTCCCGCCTCCTCTGCAATGGCCCTTGGGCCAGGGATGGATAAGCTGTGCTTCAGGTGCATCCAGCGGGCCTGGGCTCCATGCAGTCCATTGATCTTTGCATTGTGCCCAGCTGTGGTCCTCTGTGGTGATCTCCAGCTGCTGTAGAGAAGAGCTTATTTAACAAGAAGTGACAGCTGCACTTACCCGTTGGTATAAAAAAGATGTGCAGTGTTGTTAATGAATTGTGCTGTCTGGCAAAGTGGTGGCATCAGATTCTGCTCTTGGACCCATGACTTCACTAGCCCATGAGAGTTGACTAAGTTGTCAGTACCAAGCATGGTTTCTCTCCTGTTAAGTGGGCCTTAATTACACCGAGACAGCTGTCGGTTACCAGAAACATGTAAGTACCAAGTTGGGTATCCACATTTTTATGGATATCTTGCCATGCTGATCATGGATGTATTCTTAGGTGTCACGGCTTGAAATCTCTGGAGAAAGAGATAGACAGACATGAGAAAATTGAAAGGCGTCCCATGCTCATGAATCAGGAGGATTTCTAATGTGAAAATGGCCATCCTACAAAAAAACAATTTACAGATTCAATGTATTCCCAGTCAAAACATCCGTGACATTCTTCGCAAAAGAAAAATCCTAAGATTCATATGGAACAAGAATTAACCTTATATATCCAACAGCACCCTGAGCAAAAAGAATAATACTGGGGGGACTGCCATCCCAAACTTTAAGATATATTATAAAGATATAGGAATAAAAACAATAGAGCATTGGCACAAAAATATGCGTGTAGACCAATGAAATAAAATAGAAGACCCAAACATGAGTACACAAAACTACAGTCATTTGCTATTTGACAAAGAGATCAAAAGCATACTCTAAAGACACCATCTTTCAGCAAATGCTGCAGGAAAAACCATCAAATTAGACCCATATTTATCCCCCTGTGTTAAAAGAAGCTTTTTCTTTGCTAGCCGCTTTGGTTTATCCCCCGCCAGCCGCCTGGGCTCTGTCGCATTGTAGCCCCCAAATAAACACACAGGAGGCTATATTAATTATGAAGCTGTTGGCCTTGCTTGTTTCTTACTGGCTAGCTCTGACTTAAGTAATTACCCCATAATTGTTAATCTAAGTATGTCTCTTACCGGAGAATAGTTCCGGGCTCCTACCCCATGGCGTTACATCTCGAACTCTCCTGTGTTTCTCCTACCCAGAGTCCTTCTGGACTCCTAGTCCCTCCTATCTAGATTCCCTATTGGCCAGACAGTGCTTTATTCTTTATTGACAAATGCACAGGACTTCCCCAACACCCCTGCATAAAAATAATTATATCGAAGTGGAGCAAAGACCTGAATTTGAAACCTGAAATGCTAAGACTGCTAGAAGAAAGCATAAGCAGTACCCTTCAATATATAGGGTTAGGGTAGGGCTTTCGGAATAAGACATCATTTGCCCGGGAATGAAGGCCAAAATTTGACAAGTGGGACCTCATAAAACACAAAAGCTTCAGTACAGCTAAGGAAACAACCAGATAAGCGATGAAGAAACCCACAAACTAGAGAAATTTTACCAGCTAAACATACAAAGAACTCGAAAACAAAGAGTCCAGCAAAATTTGGCTAGGGTGGTAAACAGAGTTCTCAAGAGAAGAAGTAAAAAGGGCTCAGACACACCTCAAAAAGGTTCCATCATCCCCCAAAATTAGGGAACTAGAAGTTAAAATACCTTGGAGATCTCACCTCATCCCAGAGTGGTTTTCTTTTCTCAAGCACTAATTCAAGTATAGTATTCAGTACCCTAACTATCACTATTGTATAAAACACTGACCCGGGCCACTTACAGCTGAGTCCCCACGTTTAGGTATTTGATCAAATGATATTCCAGATGTTCCCAGGAAGGCATCTTAGGTGAGATTAACGTTGGAACTGAAATACATAATGCAGAAGGCATGTAATACGGGCGGGATCCATCCAGTCAGCTGAAGGTCTCCGGACAGGAAGCTTTACCACCTCTGAGCAGGAAGGGTTCTGCCAGCAGACAGTCTTTGGACCTGAACTGCAGACCATTGGGTGTCTGTCAGTTACATCTGCAGGTTTAGAGTTTACCAACGCTCTGCAACTGCCTGAACTAATTCCTTAAATAAATTTCTCTCTTTACTTACATACACATTTATTTATGCATATGTGTTTACATCATATATATATGCATATCAATACACACACACATATATATAGTACTTGTTTTTAGAGAAGCCCTTATTGATACAGGTAGTGCTACAATAGTATAGTGCATAATCAGAAATAGGGTTGGAGACCTGGATCCTCTAGTGTAGATGTTGGAAAAGTTAAACTACCGCTTTAAATCTTGGTTTTTCTCTTCTTGAAATGCTCCTTTTGGTGTTTTATTATTGATTACCTGATCCAGGCTATCCAAGCTCAAAAACTGTGAGCCTCAGAAACTATGTGAGCTGCTAAACACTTGCCTGCTTGTGTGTTTTAACAAAAAAAAATCCATGGATATGTCATCAACAACTGAATAAGTGAATTGTGGCATATACACCCAATGCAACATTGAATGAACTACTGGCATGTGCTTGAACACTGATGAACCCTGAAAGCGTAACATATCACATGGCTTCATCTTTAGGAAATTCTCAGCTGGGCCTGCTGGTTAGTGCAGGCATGTCATCCCAGCACTCAGGATCTCAAGCAACATGTGCTATGTAACAAGATTTCCAAACGGAAAAAGAAAGGAAATTCTCAGACTAGGTAAATTGATACAGAGTGCAGACAAATGTTTCCCAAGACCTGAAGGAGCTGAGACAAATGGACAGTGACTGCATAATGGTGTAGGGTCCCCTTTGGGGTAACAAATATGTTTACGTTGGGCGTGATGGCTGAACTATACTCAGCCCATTCTAAATGCCACGGGCTGACCCCCTGAAAATGGCGTCCTGCTATGGAGATTGCACATTATTTTTTTAACACAGTGGATATGGGAGTAAGCCAAAAATGCTAACAGAAAGCAATCCCTGCGAGTGGAAAACAGAAGGAGTGGGAAACACGAGCCAGTGTTGAGAAACATGGAAAACAGAGAGAGAACACCCAACAAACACCTAGTCAGACTGTGGGATACATGCAGGAAAATCCTGAGAAAAGTCAGTTAAAACACATATTCAGTCATATCACTTTGTCCTAATTACAGCTGCTCTCATCTCCAATATCTTAAAGTGAATTTGCTATTTTGCACCCTTCATTTTTTTCATATATTATATATGAAACTCATGTACTACCTGGTCCTCTTCATTATCTTTTGACCAAACACACTCTATTACATATTTAAATGATTTTAAAATGCCGTATTACTTAGGTGAAGGGTTCACAAACTACAATCTCTAAAGCAAACCTGGCTCATAGTATATTTTATTTACTTTCAATCTCTCTCTCTCTCTCTCTCTCTTCTTTTGTTATGGGGAGGAATGTTTGATGTGGGGCTGCACACACGGCACAGTGAGTATGCAGATGTAAGGTGGAAACTCTTCTTTCTTTCTGTCTTACCCCAGTTCCCAGGTTCAAACTCAGGTAGTGAGGCTTGTGCCGCAAGCTCCATTGCCAGCTCAGCCATATTGCCAGACATATTTTTATGTGGCTTGCAATGATAAGAACTGTATTTATATTTTTAACTGGAAAAGAAGTCAAAGAATATTTCCTACTATGTAAAAATTATACGGCATCTGACTTTAACTTTCCATAAATAAAGTTTTATTAGGACTTAATTTAGGGATTAGCTAAAACTACACCTGATAAAATTCATGTTAATGGTTAATTAAAGCACTTGCCCTGCAATCATGAAGCTCAGAGCAGAGTTGTGAGCTTAGAACCCTTATTAGTGACAAATGGGCACCACAACCCGCCCGCATTTCCAGCCCTGAAAGTGAGAAATAGGCGATCCCCAAAGCAAGCTGCCTTGCAAGACTAGCCACATAGGTGAGCACTGGATTAGACTAAGAGATGCTGTTTCGGTGAATAAGGTGGAATTCATCCACAGTGATCTCCAACATCAACTCCAAACCTTCACACACACACACACACACACACACACACACACACACACACACGCGCGCGCACGCGCGCGCGCGCACATGGATACACACTACACCTCGATGTGTCACACACATGAAGACATTGCATGCGCACCATACACGTGAAAATGGAAAAGGCATAAAGTCGGCATCGATGCCCCACCCCCACCCCAGACCTTTTCTTGCCTCTCACCTGCATCCCACAAGCCCAGAGAGAGGCTTTCTGCCAAGTTCCCTTTGCTGCCGGAGGTGAAAACGCACCTAAGACACAGAAACCTCCAGCACCTTCCTTGAGCTTTCACTAAGAGTATTCAATATTTCCAGTAAGCCTGACGCCTGCCAACACAGCTGGACAGACTTTGGTCCACTGAATTCTATTTCACCAGAATTTACTCCACATTGTTGTGTGTTCTCCAGACTCGCTAGGCTCTCCCTAGATCACTCGCTGCTCTCCTGCCAGTGCCCATTTTCACATGTTTCTACGTCACATTGGTCTGGTCAACAGTCACCCCATCCCCCATACTGTCCCCACCCCCACTCAGCTCAGTGACTTTCAAGTTTGCTCACCTTTTCTCCTGCTTAGTGTATTACCCATTCCAAGCACCAAACCTTCAAGCACATCAGGAAGCTTTCGCTTTGCCCTACAATAGCCACGCCTACGCTCCATCCATGGTGTCTCCCCAATACAGATTTGAGTATTAGAGACAGATGATGCCCAGTTTGCAAAGCCTAACATGTGTATCATCTGGCCCTTTACAGAAAAGTCTTGCCAACCTGTGGCTTATACATTTCCTGGATTTTATCCCTTGGAAAACAATGCTCCCTCGACACCTTCATGAATAACTTGCTCTTTCTTCGAGGTTATTTTTTGGGATAAACTCCCAGAAGTAAAGTGAGTCAAAGGATATGAGTCTTTAGATGGTTCTCTATACTCATGCCAAGTTGCTTTCTATATGGATTGCACCAATTTCCACAACCTCAGGGGGTGTGAGGATGTCAATTTCCACGTTCTTCTCTTATGACATAGCATCCAAGTAGGACGGTTCTGAAGCCCTAACCACTCCCATTCCCAGAGTGGCCACACATATGAATTTGTTCTTCATCACAATCCAATAAAAGACACAGAGACACAGCCCCAACCAAGCCTGAGGCACTTGTTTTGCTCAACAATATACCAACAACCTAACATTCTCAGGACAGAAACTTGCCTGCATTCAGGAATTGGTCATAACTGTTTCACCTGTTGTGGTTCAGATATGAAGAGTCCTTCAAAAACACTCATGTGTTTGGAATGAGGGTTGCTCCCCAGTGGCTGGCAGTATTTTGAGAGGTGATTGGATGTTTGGGAGGTAGAACTTTGATGAAGGAAATATGCATCACTGGGTGAGGATC